ATCATCCTTCTTACCTACTGTTTTTTCCCCTGCAACAACTTTTTTCTACCTGTTCACATGTCTATGTGAATAACATGAACGCTTGCCCTTAATGTTCCAAAAACATGCTTAGGAGTAGTCTGTCAGATAGGTAACACTGATACTTCATAATACTGAGAAATGCCTCTCTAAACTTAAAACAGTACACTGTGAAGCCACTAAATGAAATGAAGAACATAATACCAAGAACAGTTTGCATACATTAACAAAATAAATTAACATAAGTGCATTATCCAACATGAATTTGACCAAAATCCAGGAGGCAGTGGAAGACAGGAGGGCCTGGCGTGCTCTGGTCCATGTGATCACGAAGAGCAGGATACGACTAAACGACTAAACAACGTAGTAGTAGTAGTAGTAGAATTAGTAGTAGTAGTAGTATTAGTATTAGTCGACTAAATGACAACAACGTAGTAGTAGTAGTAGTAGAATTAGTAGTAGTAGTAGTATTAGTATTAGTGCTGCTAATTGTTGAAAAGAACAAGAAAGGGCCCATGTTTTCTATATATACTATATACTGTATATATTTTTAAAAATCCATAAAATAGTATATTTACATTTTCCCCATATTGTGCATCCTGGAGCTGCTTTGCAAGTCTGATTACAGCACAGGAACTTCCAACTGTTGAAAAGAACAAGAAAGGGCCCATGTTTTCTATATGTACTTAAAAAAATCCATAAAATAGTATATTTACATTTTCCCCATATTGTGCATCCTGGAGCTGCTTTGCAAGTCTGATTACAGCACAGGAACTTCCCATTGGAAAAGAAGCCTTTGTGATACTTGTGTAGTAAATCTGTATTGTTCTTCAGTTCTGGAGAGGGGAAAAACAGGAAGTGGGGTGCAAGGGAAGAAAACAAGAACTGTAAATGTTTGCTGCCATTTAACAAGTATCTCACAAATCAGGAGAGGCCATAAGATGGTTACCTAGAAATTTTGGAATGTTAAGTGATCTGTCAGTATATTTAACCTAAAAATAAAGAGTTTCTATACTCAAATGGCTGAATTTCTTCTGCTACCACCATCACCAGAGGCTGGAGAAGTGGTTCTTCCGTATGCAGCCTTCTCCCATAGATTTTAATGCAAAAGTTGTACTGGTTAGCTAAAATTTGACAAGGTCCTTCTCCCTGACTCTTTTAGTTCAGTCAAATTCTAATACAGCACCTGTAAGAGAAATTCTCTATATTTTGTTTTCAAAATGTTTTAGAGTCTGGTAGTCAGTACCTCTATGCAAAGTCTCTAACCATCGCCTTCGACTCTCTTCGCTGGCAGAGAAAACATACAGGAGGCCACCTTTGTACACAATCTAAGCACAAAACAAAGTGGTTCTGTAAATGCCATGAGCTCAAAATAATCATCACAGTCACAACTGCAACAGCAACAACAGGCATAGTATCATGTTATCATGCCAGATGTTCTAATCTGAAGTTGTGTACAGCTTATCTGAAGTACAAATGAGACAAGCACACCTCTGGTAGCTGTCATTTACAGAGAGTTATAAATAAGTTGCACCATGTAGCAAGAAATACTGAAACCAGGTTTAGAAAGGGAGATCATTAATTCATTGTTTCTATATTATTTAGTCTTGTATGTTTGCCAAATCAGGCTGGACTAAGCTTAGATCTCAACCCAGAATCTGTTTTCTAGAGTTAAACAAAGTTTCAGTTCCCTCCTGACAGACACAATTCATCCATCCTAGTGTCGGTGTTTGCTAGTTACTACTAGAGCTTGTTATTACATTTAATCTTTTCCCCATCAAACAGAAGAAAGGCACCAAATTATCTAATGCTTCAAATGCTTGAAAAGTAACACTACCACATTTTTGTGCTACTTTGCTGGGCACACATGCCTACTCCGAAAAAAGAGGACACCTATATACATTGACTTGCCACCTCAGATGTTTCTGGACTATGACTTCTCAAAGCTGGAAACAACATGGCCAGTTCTCAGATTTTCTAGAAATTGTATCCCAACAATGTCAGGAATCCCACAGTTAAGAACCAGTAATTTACAAATAATGAACTTCTTTCAAATGTACTTCTTTAAAAGAAATATAGAGTTTGCCTGAAAACATTGTCTGAACAAAAAGGAGCTCATCTCGTGCCAGTCTTCCTCTTCTATGGGCTAGGTGGGTTACAGCAAATCATCATCATCATCATCATCATCATCATCATCATTAAATATCAGCTGCTTATTGATAAAATGATACTGAAGAATGCAAAAAGACAAAAAAAATCTTAACACAGCCTGGATAGACTATAAAAAGGCATTGACTCATTGCGACACAGCTCAATTAACCTAAACATTTTTGGGATTAGTAAAAACATTCAGTTCCTCAAAAGAACCCCGAAAAATGGGAAACTGTCTTAATGGCCCACGATGAAGAAATTGGGAAAGTTAGCTTCAAAAGAGGAATATTTCAGGGGGATTCTTTGTCACCATTGCTGTATAACTTCTCACTAATCCCCATGTCAAAAATTTTAAATAAAACTGGATTTGGTTACTATATTTCAGAACAAGCAGGAAAAATCAGTCATCTGTTATACACAGACGACCCAAAAAGTTCCACAGAGATAGAATCAGTGTTACACACAGTGCGAATATTTAGTGAGATATCCAGATGAAATATGGAATTGGCAAAGGTGCAGCTCTGCCTATAAACTGTGGCAAGAGCCAAAAACTAGATGGAATAGAGATAAAAATGGCAATATTATAATATCTCTATCAAGTGATGAAAATTATAAATACTTTGGAATACTAGAAGCAGACAACATCATGCACACAAAAATTAAAGAACTGATAGAAAGGGAATATATCAAAAGACTGTGGAAAATTTTGAAATTAAAATTAAATGGTTGAAATACAATCAAAGCCATAAACATCTGGGCAGTTCCAGCAATTAGATAGCCAGCTGAAATAATAGATCAGACTCAAAACAAGTTAGAAGAATTGGATCAAAAACATGGAAACCAATGAATATGCATCACACACTACAGCCAAAAAGTGATGTGAACAGACTATACTCTAAACCAACGTGATGAAAGCCAAGACCCAAGGAATTAGTGCTAAGAGCAAATGCCGACTGCCAAGAAAAAGATGAAACTGTCACACCTCAGCTGTGATTGTCTGAAGATTGCACAAACAGATTACAAAGTTAGACATGATAGAGTGGCAAAATTAGTGCACTGGTTGTTATGCAAAAAATGTAACTTGCCAGCCTCCAAAAACCTGCGGGAACATCAGGTAGAGAAGGTGTCAGAAAATGAGGAAGTCAAGATCTTGTGGGATTTCCGGATCCAAACTGAGAGACACTTTGAACACAACACACCAGACATAGTAGAAATAGAACAAAGAAGTGCATGGATCATTGACATTGCAATTCCAGGGGATACGAGAGTTGAAAAGAAGGAATAGGAAAAACTAACAAAACACAGGAACCTGGCAATCAAAACATCTCGCTTGTGGATGAAACACACTTCAGTGGTCCCTGTAGTCATTGGGGCTTTGGGAACAATATCAAGAAACTTCACACAGTACTATAAGCAGTTGCAGATCTCAGAAATCACACCATCAGAGATTTTAAAAAACGGCAGTATTAGGAACAGCATACATACTGCACTGATATTTAACAGCTACTTAGGTTTTTGGTTAAAACTTGTATCTGTTATATAATACCAGTCAATGTTTTTATTATAATGTTGACTGTACTTGGTGTTTCTCACTACTACTACCACCACCACCACCACCACCACTACTACTACTACTACTACTACTACTACTAATAATAATAATAATAATAATACTAAATTGTAATAATAATGCTCCATCAAGTTGATTCTTGTTTATGGTGATCCTTTTCAGGATTTCCTAAATTCAGAATATTTGGAACTGGTTTACCATTCCCTTCTTCTGGGGCTACTCTGAGCAATTTACCCAGGGCTACGCATGCTGGCTTTTCTCATGCAAGGTATAGTGCAGAACCAATATCTAATTTACTGAACAATCCAGCCAGCTACAGCAACTAGGGGTGCAACTAGACAGTCAAAGTTATCCTCTGCTAGATTGGGCTAAATAGGGTCCTCAGTATGCCATTTAGAACAGACACTCTCAACTTATTTTTCTGGCCATTACCATAAACACAATATGAAAGAAATATAGGTTGAATCATGATTTTATAAGTTGCATAACAAACCTTATTAGGTGGTGTGTGAAGAGTATGTGGCCCCTTTCAAATGTGCCATGGCCTCCCCGGGGACCATATGGTCCCTCTCGAGAATGGCTGATTTGGAGTGATCCTTGAGTTCACATACAAACACCAATTGGCCTTATTTGGCTTTTCCCTCCCTGTGCCTTTCCATGCCCTCACATCCTCTCCTGTCTCCTCCCCCATAGGGAAACAAGGTACCCTAACATCTGTAAAAATGAGTAGGAATAGACTCTGGCAACATCTGAACATGCATTAGTTCCCTACCCCTGCTAGTTGATGCTGAACTACAAGGCATTGTTGTAACAAGATTGTTGTCACCACAGAATAGAAGTGAATTTTCCACGTCATCATCAGCAGCAGCTTCATTTTCAAGGGCTACACAGTTACCTGAAAGGGAAATGGTCTCTCTGGAAGGGTTTGTTCCTCAAGATCCACTGCCTCCACACATCGGATTTTCTGGATGTCAATTGATCCCTTTCGAGTTCCTTTTTTCTAGGAAATACGGAACAAGGAGTACACACAACACAAAGTGGCCAGGACACATCGAAGTTTAAGAAAAAGATATTTTTGGACTACAACTCCCAGTATCCCTTAGCCAGAATGGGGATTGTGAGATTTGTAGCACACCCAAATAACTATCCCAGTCTTTGGATGGAGTACGTGCATGGCAAAAGAGCGATGTCTTCTCCTGCACTTGTCTACCCTAACATGACATGAGAAGGGTTAACAAGTAGATCACAGATTCAAGTGACCTCTTCCCTTTCTATACAGCACTGTTAGAAATCTATTTCTCACCTCTTTCTCATATTCATAGTAGGAGAGACTTGCTTTTGTAAGAACAAACCATCGCTCTTTGTAATTATTTGGAGATATTTTTTTCTTCTGCTGAGACTTTTTTACCAGCAGCTCTTCTAAAATAGGTTTGTCCTCCATGCTTTCCATTGTATTGTTCCTAAAAGATGTAAGTCCTTAGGCAAAAAGAACATGTTAAGGTGACAATCCTGTTCACATTAAAGAAAGTTCAATTAATTCTGCCAAACCTCCTATTGCAAGTGAAGTAGAGGTATACAGGATTATCCTACAAAAGAAACCCCCCCCAGACTTATTTTTTAAGTTTTACCACCATTTCTCCCCAATGGACCAATATTTTTAGCAGTAATTTGCAAGTCTCACTTGAAATTTCTCAAGATTATCTTCTTGTCTTAAACAAGACACGTCTTCACATGTTTAGAAACATTGGAAGTGACCATCATTTATGATCTCATTGTTTATAAAATAATTGCAAAATAAATCATGAAGAATACTGTATTGCTAAGCATTTTAATATATATATATATATTGCAAATTACTGTATATATGTGTATATATTTTAAAATGCAACTTACTCCAATGCGGTGCTTTCACAGGAACAATGTTTCTCTCTTCCTTCTAATAGCCTCAAGAGGAAATAGCCTTCTCAGTGTTTCATTCTTTTATACATTTAGCAAATAGGGGGATGTCTATCAAGTCCTATTTGCATACTGTTCATGTGGTGTACAGTAAGCACTTTTCCAATAGTGATATTCAATAGAATGTAGATCACCTTCATTTGCCTGATTTTAGAGGCATGTAAGGAATGTGTAACTTTCTGTGGCTAACCAAGGAGGTTCGGAGTAGGTCTCATCTTAGCCCTTGTCATGTGCTTGACTGTGCAACTGAGATGTGCCTTAGCATCTTGTTAATCAGCGACAACGAATCAAAACAATTTACGCAGACTTTATGTAAATACTTGGAGGAGTTTACCCATACTTTCCAACAAGGTGGTTGTCAAATATTTCTTTTGGACTGCGCTGAGCAAAGCAGGGGTACCACCAGCCTTCACAGAGGTCCTCCACAGAGAAGAAAACCCCAACAACAGCTTCTTCCTTAAAGCTTATCAAAGGTCCTCCACAGAGGTCCACACAGAGAAGAAAAACCCAACAACAGCTTCTTCCTTAAAGCTTATAATACATATTTACGTTCTTCACAAAATACTCCAACAGCAAATCTCCAAACTCTCCATACCATATGTACACTAAATATGTACACTTTCTGATGGCAGAAAGTGAGGAGGTCATCTTAGGTGATCTCATTATAATTACATCAGCCTTCTGCCTAGTCAGCATCACTCAGCTTTATACACAGCTGTACAATACAGCTGATTAACAACTTCCTTTATACATTCTGTTTGAGATGTCAATTTCTTCTATTATGTACAATCCTTGTAATTTCCTAACACTGGTTTTCAATTCCACTCCATGATATCCATTGAATTTTACATGTGGAAGAGTATGACAACTGCAATTTTATACCCCCCCCCTTTTTTTTTGCAGTGTTGCCCGTTGAACACTAGACTTTATTTCCAAGTACAATACACACACACAGGACTGCACTGCATAATGTGAGTGATGCCAGACAATGGTGGTAATGAGATTTCTGGAATGACATACCTTACGCAGTCTATTATTTTGTACTACTCATTCACTAGAAATATGTACAGTGAAGTCATGTTATAACATGATTCTATGTCTGTTTACTCTAAAGTAAACTTTCATATTTGAATATTGCAGCAGAAGAGTCACCCACTAAGCTCTTTTGTAGACATAAGATCATCTATCTCTGCTTGTTTTGCAGCTTTAGCTGGGGAATGTGGACTTGACCTTTTTTCTTGCTCTCGTTTTCTTCCTATATTTGCGGATTGCAGTTGTTCTCTGAGTATAAACAACTCTAAGCTTCTGTTGTTTGTTGTTTATATAAAACCCGGGGATAAACTAAAGAAGCTATGGCAGATCTCAAATAAAGATTGATAAATAGTTTGCTGCAAATAAAGTAAAGTTTAGATAAATACAATAAAATACTAGCTAGATTAAACTAGAAGTGACCCTAGGCAATTTCAGCAGCAATTAAAATAAAAATATAGACAGCGGAGAGTCTAAATGTGATTGATCCATGGTCACCATCATGTCACCTCCCACCATAATTTACAGATTAGCTCGCTTTCTTGTTTGATTGGTATTCAGGATTCAAATATGGGTTTCCTTTGAATTCTCAAACAGAAAAGACTGTCTGAATTATGTCTGATACCTACATGCTTTTAGCTCTAATTACAAGCTAATAGTTTTACCCTATATCTGTCAGATTTCTAAGAGAATTATGAATATGCTCTTCCCTGGGGAATCCATGACTCCTGGAAGTGTAAACCAACTTCAGGCATCACTGTAGATACACTCCCCTCCTCCCCGCTCAAATATGTAGAGTTGTTGTTTCAGGGTGCTATCTTTAAAGAATAAAAAAAATGTTCTTCTAACTGCCCTATCTATCTTATGTTGCAGTGCTGAGTTCAAACTATTTTTTTAAAAATAAATTGTTTAGAGATAACTGACACTACCACGAGAGCCCCTTTGCATTCAATCTGGCAATCACACTGGACAGAAAGTGGTCAAAAGCAAGGCCAACCTAACTGGAACAAATTTAAAACAACTGGCTAAACAAAAATAAGACGATCCCCAATTCAAAAGAGATGGTTCTACAATGGGCTGCCTTGCATTGAGCTTTATATCCTGTAATCACCAGGCTTTAATTTAAATTCATCTATTGAAATCTGAGGTATATTCTGGGGTAAATATGTGTGTTTTGAATCGTACTGTGAGGATTTAGGGGGTGGATATGTTTATGTTTATGGTTAACCACCCCAAGTATTGCTTTCCACTAAGTCGGGTGGTACACAAATGTGATAAATAAATAAATGGCCAATTTAGTCACACCCTTAGTCTGTTTCAGCATGTATGACAGAAACAAAACAAAAATAAAAACAAATGTATTGTGACGCTTGAAAGTCTAACATTTTAATTTTGGTGAGAGCATTCGTGCATTAAAATCCACTTCCTCAGATACATGTTAGGAGCTCACTGCAGTCAACACGGCCAAAATCTTATTGGGATTTTACTATGGAGTAAGCAAAAACACATTAAGTTAGGGCAACAAATTGTAACTAATTACTGTAATGAAACAGTCCTTCACCTGTTCTTGTGCCAGTCACACAACTCAGCACACTACCAGGCACACTACTAACAGTTCATTAATTAGAGTTCACAATTTCACCGAGTTTGAACTAAATCCTAATAGATTTGTGGCCCCTGTGACTGAAAATGGATTGAAGTCCACAAAACCTAGCAGAGATCTGTTGGTCCTTAAGATGGCACCATACTTTTTTTTTTCATTTTTATTTTATCTACCTGGATGAATAATTATTCATTATCACTGAATAAAAGGGGACTTACTTCAGAATAAAAATAGCAGACTCTGGTAGTACCTTAAAGATTTAACTAGTTTTATTTGGCCCACAGTTACATGGATGGCAGCTCAAGGAAGCTTATGCCAAATAAAGCTTCCTAATCTTTGAAAATGCCAGGAGGCACTCTTGTTTTTACTGCTCATTACACAACTACCCCTCTGGCAATCAAGGTAGACACGTAGGGATTGCACGCGAAGGGACCAAAGCTTGCTTTGAATTGACTCCAGGATTCAGAGGCGCTGTTCACTTCCAGAATGGAGGAGTGATCGAAAACCATTTTTTCTCCTGAAGCGCGTGATCCTTACAGGTGCTTGCTGCGGCAACCAAAAAAATAAAAAAATAAACAAAACAAAACAAAACGAGTAAACCCCAATACTATTTCTTGTGCATACTGTGCGGCGCATTCCTTGTGCTGCCAGTCACAACCCGGCTAAAGAAGCAGTAAATGCCTCACTAATGTAAGCGGAGCGGAGCAGGCAATGGTATCAGGGCACAAGCAACGATCCACTCCCTAGTCGTCCCTTGTTTACACAGAGACTCTCACGCCGGTTCTTTAACCTCGCGACTCCTAACCAATGGGAAAATAGCTCCGCCTCCTCCGCCTCAATCCATAGGAGGAACGACGTGTTCGTTCGCCGGGGCGTGTTTTCCGTGGGAATGGATGCGAAGCGGAGTCAACCAGGAATAGCTGGGTGACCGAGATTTGCCCCCTTCTTCTCCTTAATCGACCCGCGGTATTTATCGCAATAGTGGTTTGTTTGGGGGGGAGGGGTCGCCTTCTACACGTCGTTTTCGGCAAACTAAATGGAATTCGAGGGGGCTGGACTCCCAGGGGCTGCGTTTACCTGAGAGTAAGCCCCATTGGGACAACCATGGGACTCGACTCAGGGGTCAACTGCGCGCAGGGCTGCCGCTGTGAGGGAAGCGCAGCCCGCCAGACGTGCCCCCCCAACCCGGAATAAATTGGCGGGGATTGTAAACAAGCCACCAGACGCCCAGGGTTGTTTGAGCTTGGCCCCTCTAACCCACCCTCGCCGCCCCGCTTCCTCTCCGGGGTGTGACGGGCAGGGCGCTCGCGTCCTTCGCTTTTGACAGCTATGCCCCAGCCCCAGGGGTGGCTCCTGGCTCCCTGTGAAAAGGGAGCTCCGAGGCTCCCTTTTGCTGAGTCATCCTGAGCAGCCCTTTTTTTCCCCCTTTCCTCCGCGCCCTATAAAGCGACACGACCTGCAAGTCATGCCACTTACATGGTTTTTCTTCTTGGCAGGCAGAGGCTGCGTGTTGAGCCGCGGCCCGAGAGCTGGATGGCCAGAGGAGAGCCCCTAGGTATGCATGCCATGGCTGGAGGGAATCGGTGGGGAGCGAAGGAGGAAGCTCAGGCCACCACTCAAGGAAAGCTGCTGACTGGCAGGCATCATTTGCCAGCAAAAACTTAAATTTTTTTTGGAGCTGACTTATACAGAGTGCTGTCCTCTGAAGATGCCGGCCACAGAGACTGGCGAAACGTTAGGAAGAACAACCTTCAGAACACGGACAAAGAGCCCGCAAAACCCACAACAACCACAAAAACTAAATTATTTGTTGCTGCTCCTAATCTTCCTTTAATTACTGGTTTGGGGCTTGGTTACTCAATGTTCTATTACTTCCTCTTGACATCAGTTGAGGAAAAAAAATATTCTTGAAGCCTACATGAAACGTATTTGTTCTTTTTGTAGATATCTGAACCCATTAGGACTCCCGTCTTCTTTTCCAAGGGGCTATGGCTGCAGTAAGGAAAGTTGTCAAAACTGTGCTCAGTCGGGAACAGGCAGAAGGAATGGGGGCTCGGGTCCGCAGGAGTATTGGCAGGCCTGAGGTAAGCCCCAGTTTTGTTCTTTCATCTCTGTACAGATTTGTGTAACTTATTTGGTTATTCATTCGTTGCATTTGTAGGCTGTCTTTCTCAGTGAAGGGACCCGAGGCAGCTCACAGTTAAAACAAATCACACTAAAATAGAATAAATAAGGTTAAAAAACAATTAAACACAAATAATAATTTAAAAAAACAATCAATTAATTATACAATGATAGATAACGTATTTTTCCGTGTATAAAATGACACTTTTTCCTAAAATCATTAGAGGAAAAATTGAGGGCAATTTTATACAAGGAAGGAAGCAGTCGTGCACACGCTTGGGCGCCTCTTGCTGCTGCCTCTCCTGCCTGCCCAGTCACCGTCTCCAGTGGGACTGACGGGCTCAGCTCACATCAGCGCCTCGTCCCCTCTGGTGGCAGAGGCAGCAGGAGTAGAGGCAGAGGCAAACAAGCGCTCACGCCTGCTTGGGCACCTTTTCCTGGTGCTGCTGCGGGATCACCTCCTCCAGTGATCGGCTCCTTAGGGCAGGGGACAAGGCAGCGATGTGAGCTGGAAGTGAGCCCCGGCAGTCACACTGGAGGAGGTAAGTGGGTGGGCAGTGAAGACAACAGCAGCAGAAGGAGACGGAAGTGGAGGAGCAGTTGCCCATTAACTGCTCCTCCGCCTCCATCAAGGGTCAAAATTAGGGGGTTGTTTTATAAGTTTTATACATTGTACACAGAAGAATACGGTATGTTTGATGACAAACTGAAGCCCTGAACATTTTTCTTATTACAAGGCCTGGAGGTGGATGTAAAACAAATTGTGCCCTGTTTGCCGCAAGAACAAGTAGGAGTTTTGGGGTACTTTAAAGTCTAATAAGTTTAATTGGTATAATTTTTTTGTGTGGACACTAGCTCTTGACTTCAACATTTGAGGACATGGATTACAGTATGGGAAATGCCATACCAAGTAAGACTTGTTAGTCCCAAGGGTGTCCCAGAACTTCGAGTTGTTTTTGCTGCTGCTGACTGATAAGGTACTGCCCCAGTGCCTAGTTACTGCAGTGCGTGCTAATGTCTTCTAAGGAAATAAAGGATATTTTCTGTATACGTATCTCTTATTCTGAGGTATTACCTATATCAGTCCATCACATACATTAATTTAAATATGTCAAGAGCAAATGTCTTCTGTGAATAAAATAAACAAAACTAAGGTCCAGTTTTAAACATGTGGAAGTGCTTTATATAAGTCAGCTCCAAACAGTAGTTTAGAGAAAACCCATTATCCGAGGAAAAATGTTGTATTCTAGAGATGTAATTTAGGCAGGCTTTCATGTCTGAGAAATCAGATGTGTGAGGCCTGGCCCATTTTTAGCTCCAGAGGAATAAACATAAATGAAATCAGATTTCAAATTATGTGGGGTGAGAAAAGCCCCCACTATGGTAGTCAGATGCTTTCAGCAGTTAAGAAATTTTGTTAGTTCAGAAGATAAATTACCTGAGTTGTGTACTTTGGCACTGAGGCAACAGGTCCACAAAGGTATGCTGCAGTACTGTTTGTGTTGACAATAACTGTTCTTGTCCTGGAATCCAAACTGTTTATTACATCAAATACATTGTTTCCTTTTGTGTGTTATTTTCCCTTTGAAATAGCAATCCTAGGAGACGTGAACAGGACCAGGGCCCCGTTGCATGGGAAGGTGGAAGGCTAATTTATTCCTCCGGGTGCTCCAAACCACTTCCCTTCCCCTGAAACTTCTATTTATCTGGTATAGAAGAGGAACCGCCATTACACTAGTGGCAGTTATTCTCTTGTGGCAAGCAGTATGTTACTGAAGTTTAGACGGCAGACATTTTTGATGGGATTGTGCTTAGCAAGGAAGAACTACAGTATACCTTTCCTTCCCCTAAATCCAGATTCTGACCCCCATTTCTGCCTGAATTTGATATAAAATATAATTTATCTCTCACAGAATGTCCACATCCTGCTATCTTTTATCAAAGTCTCCATTTGTGCTCTCTAGATCTGTACCTTGATGTTGCACATCTAGATGGGTGAGATAAAATAGACTTCTCCAGATGAGTGCCCTCCAGATGTGTTGGACTACAACTCCCATAATCTACAACTAGTGGGGGAAATAACCACCAGCCCCCATCCTGCAGCACCAGCAGGGCCAGGGTCCCCCAACAATAACTCCATGGACTCCAGCTCAGCTTCTTGACTCAGAACAGCTCTTATTGGTGATACAGCATCACTTTCCCCCTGCCTGCCTCCCCCATCTCACAGGGCTGAATTATAGTCTTTGAACCCTTGGGCACCACTTGCCAGCTTGGGGGACCCAGTTAACTTCACTGAAGTTCCCAGGAGTCCAGGTTCGGGAAAGCAGGAAGGAGAGGAAGCACCCCTTTTGGGGAAGGCTTGTATAGAGGAGCAAAAGAATTCTGGCTCAGCAGCTCATCTCTACCAGTCTCTTCCCTCACTTGCCTTTCCAGGTTTGTGGTGGTGTCCAGGTTAATGTAACCTTGTCCAAGCACATAGCCAGAGTCTCTGGTGCTGCCACAAACCAAACAACCAGGTAGGGATAGACAGCTTCAAGCATTCCCTTCTATTATATCTGTGACAAACCCAGACCTACTGGCAGCATTCCCTTCTCTTACATCCCCCCACACAACCTCTTCTTTGGAGATGTGCGACAGCTCCCTGCCATCCCAGTCCTGTCCTTTTATTCTCCGCGACCCCACCTCCTCCAGCTGTTCCTCATCAGGGAACTGTCCTTCAACTACATGGACTCCCTCCCTCTGGCTTAATCCTGAGAAAACTCACCCTCCTCCTGGCTGCCTGACACTTGTGTGCTGAGGCTAGATAGCTTGCTAGGGAATTGTGCCTGCACTCCCTCAAGCTACCTGGGGCTGATGAAGTTGTGCGGAGAACACAGAGGAAGACAGAGAGAGGATTCCTCATCAGGGAACTGTCCTTCAACTACATGGACTCCCTCCCTCTGGCTTAATCCTGAGAAAACTCACCCTCCTCCTGGCTGCCTGACACTTGTGTGCTGAGGCTAGATAGCTTGCTAGGGAATTGTGCCTGCACTCCCTCAAGCTACCTGGGGCTGATGAAGTTGTGCGGAGAACACAGAGGAAGACAGAGAGAGGATATGATATGTCACCAAGCTAGCTGGGGCTGATGAAGTTGTGCAGAGAACACAGAGGAAGACAGAGAGAGGATATGTCCTGGCTGGTGTACATATATGTTTGTGTCTATTTTTCCATCTCACTATGTACTAAATACCAGCTTATCTTTTTGTTCCACTGATTCAAAGAGGTTTAGTTGTGATCTTCTTTTAGTTAGCGGGCAGTTCCACTCTGATGGCAGAAAGTGAGGAGGCATTAAAGAACCTCTTACTGAGGGTGAAAGAGGAGAGCGCAAGAAATGACCTGAAGCTCAACATAAAAAAAGCTAAGATCATGGCCACTGGTCCCATCACCTCTTGGCAAATAGAAGGGGAAGATATGGAGGCAGTGACAGATTTTACTTTCTTGGGCTCCATGATCACTGCAGATGGTAACAGCAGCCACAAAATTAAAAGACACCTGCTTCTTGGGAGGAAAACAATGACAAATCTAGACAGCATCTTAAAAAGCAGAGACATCACCTTGCTGACAAAGGTCTGCATAATCAAAGCTATGGTTTTTCCAGTAGCGATTTATGGAAGTGAGAGCTGGACCATAAAGAAAGCTGACCGCCGAAGAATTGATGCTTTTGAATTGTGATGCTGGAGGAGGCTCTTGAGAGTCCCCTGGACTGCAAGGAGAACAAACTTATCCATTCTATAGGAAATCAAGCCTGAGTGCTCACTGGAAGGACAGATCCTGAAGCTGAGGCTCCAATACTTTGGCCATCTCATGAGAAGAGAAGACTCCCTGGAAAAGACTCTGATGTTGGGAAAGTGTGAAGGCAGGAGGAGAAGGGGCTGACAGAGGACAAGATAGTTGGACAGCGTCATCGAAGCGACCAACATGAATTTGACCCAACTCCGGGAGTCAGTGGAAGACAGGAGGGCCTGGCATGCTCTGGTCCATGGGGTCACGGGCACTAAACAGCAACAATAAAAGTTTCTTTTTTTAAAAAAATGTACTTCTGAAAAAGGTTTAGAAGTTGTTCTCAACCTGGCTTACAGAAGAAGCAAAATAATTCATCCGTACAATAACACTAAATGCATTAAAATATTAGACTGAAAAATGTCAGGTTTTACGTTGTAACTATACAATGAGGGAAATGTGAATTAACTTGCATTAAGCTGTTAAAAAACTGCTTGAGAAGTAGCTGTTAAAAATGAAAAAGAAGTGTCTTGGTAGAGAGACTTGCAGAGAATGCTGGTATTGCTTGTGTGTGTGCTCGATTCATCTTTCTGCATCAGTTTCAAGACAATCACATACGAGGGGAGGTAGAAGTGTAGATTGGGAGTGTGGGGCTCCTGGCTGATTGTCATTGCCATTTGCATCATCTGGTCCATTGGAAAAATGCAGATCAGCCTGCCCCAAACCTGTAATTCTTACATTTTTTTCCCTGTGTAGTCAGACTTGATGGCCTATGATTATATTAGTCAGGCAGAGAAGTTGGCAATTATACACAATCTTTTTGGTTGTAACAGTCTTGAACCCAAAGTCTTTACATCCTATTTTAAAAGCTTATTTATTTTATCCATATAAGGTAACATAACTCATATTTGGGTTATGCGCCTTGATGATCAGAACGTAAACAATTCCATGTTGCCTTTCCCAAACGAATAGTACTTTTCATACATTCTATTGTTATTTATTTCCAGCTGAAAAACCTTGATCCATTCCTGATGCTTGATGAGTTCAAAGTAGGCAAACCAGCTGGTTTTCCTGATCATCCTCATCGAGGTTTTGAAACAGTAAGTTATCGCTACTAAAATATGTATGTTATTTACTTGTAGGGTATCTGTTGAAAAGTGATGCTCAGTCAAATTATTCTGTTTAGTTTACCCTTTCCTCAATTCTTTGGGTGTGATGGGGGTCATTGCCTATTAATTTGTACTCCAAAAAACATATTTGGAAAAGCGCATGTTGACTGACAGGATAGCATAATTGTCAATGGAGAGGTTATCAGCCATGTCCACAGTGCAGATGGATTGACATTACTAGCTTATAGTTTAGATACTCTCCCAAGGTTGCTCGGAAGAGTCAATGTAGTAACTTATGAACAAGGTCTAAAAATGAATATTGAGAAAACCAAAATCCTGGTAATCGGAAAAAAAGTAGGCAGCTCAAGAAATACACTGAAAAATCCAGAATGAAGGTGTGGAATATGGAGACAAATGTTAAATATGTTGGAATTTGGTTGAAAGAGCAAGTGGACTATAGCCATGTAACAGATGTCCAGATAGACTCAGAGCAGCTTCTTTAAGATGAAGAATGTAGTGCACTATGCATAATGTAAAATGGGTGTCGAGAAATTCTTTGTAGGTGTGATGCATTCTTGGTTTTGTTGTATGGTGTGCAGTTTTAGACTTTAACAGAGTCACAGTAATAAGGATAAAAGACTTTAAGATAAGGGTTTGTCACAATATGCTAAAATATCTTTGATGGGAGGATGACTAACAAAGAAGTACTAAGACAAATACACCAGATCAAGGAACCAGAAAACTCTTAAATTGTACAAAGCTAGAATATTTTAGGCACATCAGGATAAACAAAAGGTACATATTAGTACCGTTCAGCATTCAGGTTAGAAATAAATTGAGGTGGGGGTATGAGAATATCTTGGCTAAAAAACCTGGGAGACTAGCTTGGAGGCAGCCCAGCATCATTGTTTAGAGCTGCTACATCCAAAGTCAGTATAGCTATGCTTGGGTAACAGGGGAACAAGGAGTTGTTTAGTTATTAAGTTGTGACTGACTCTTCATGACTCCATGGACCAGACCACGTCGGGCCCTCCTGTCTTCCACTGCCTCCCGGAATTTGGTCAGATTCATGTTGGTAGCTTCGATGACACTGTCCAACCATCCCATCCTCTGTTGTCCCCTTCTCCTCTTGCCTTCACACTTTCCCAACATCAAGGTCTTTTCCAGGGAGTCTTCTCTTCTCATGAGATGGCCAAAGTACTGGAGCCTCAGCTTCAGGATCTGTCCTTCCAGTGAACTCTCAGGGTTGATTTCCTTTAGAACTGATAGGTTTGTTCTCCTTGCAGTCCAGGAGACTCTCAAGAGCTTCCTCCAGCACCACAATTCAAAAGTATCAATTATTCGGCGGTCAGCCTTCTTTATGGTCCAGCTCTCACTTCTATACATTGCTACTGGAAAAACCATAACTTTGACTATGTGGACCTTTGTCGGCAAGGTGATTTCTCTGCTTTTTAAGATGCTGTTGAGGTTTGTCATTGCTTTCCTCCCAAGAAGCAGGCACCTTTTAATTTTGTTGCTGTTGTCACCATCTGCAGTGATCATGGAGCCCAAGAAGGTAAAGTCTGTCACTACCTCGATGTCTTCCCCTTCTATTTGCAAGGATGATGGGACCAGTGGCCATGATCTTAGTTTTTTTATCTTGAACCTCAGACCATTTTTTGCACTCTCCTCTTTCACCCTCATTAAGAGGTTCTTTAATTCCTCCTCACTTTCTGCCATCAGAGTGGTATCATATGTATATCTGAGGTTGTTGATATTTCTTCCAGCAATCTTAATTCCGGTTTGGGAGTCACCCAGTCCTGCCTTTCCCATGATGTGTTCTGCATATAAGTTAAATAAGCAGGGAGACAATATACAGCCTTGTCGTACTCTTTTCCCAATTTTGAACCAATCAGTTGTTCCATATCCAGTTCTGACTGTTGCTTCCTGTCCCACATATAGATTTCTCAGGAGGCAGATAAGGTGGTCAGGCACTCTCATTTCTTTAAGAACTTGCCATAGTATGCTGTGGTTGACACAGTCAAAGGCTTTTGCGTAGTCAGTGAAGCAGAAGTAGATGTTTTTCTGGAACTCTGGGAGTTGTCGGTCCACTTACTGCTGAAGCCTGCCTTGGAGGATTTTAAGCATAACCTTGCTAGTGTGTGAAATGAGTTCAATTGTATGGTAGTTGGAGCATTCTTTGGCACTGCCCTTCTTTGGAATTGGGATATAGACTGGAATCCTGGAAAAAAAATTTCTTGCACCAGCAGGTGGCACTGGTCAGCAACAGTTGGGTAAAAATGAGTCCACACACTACTAGAAGATGCAAATTGTCGTTTAAGGAAACAATGTGGAATCTACTGTTGTTCTTGATTGACTTTATTGGGCTGTTTTCCTTACACATGGCGGCTGTGCTTCCTTGTTTGGCAATACACTGAGCAGTAAAGCTTATTTGTAGGGAAGCACATGGCGGCTGTGGTTCCTTGTTTGGCAATATGCCCCACTGAGCAGTAAAGCTTATTTGTAGGGAAGGGTGTTTTAGCACTGCAAACTTACTTTAATAAGCTGTTGATGTAAAAAAGAACTATAAATCTCTTCTGTCCTATTGCAAGTCAATATTTGCAGGTAGATTGGTTCCAACCTTTCCCCCAGTTCATTCTCTCCATAGTAAGTCTAATGTATCTCTTGAATTACCTTCATGTTGGTTCTTTTTCTTACATGTTGCATATATGTGATTTATTTTTTTCATTTCCGTTCCGTTTCTGTGGGAGTAATATAGCATAAAATAACATTCCATCCTAGTTGGTTCATATACAGTTTTCCTATTTAAATCAACAATGTTCAGAAGTATTATTCTTGGTGAATTGTACCCAATAGTACATTATGCTATAATTTGCCTTATTGCTATATTTTTGCTGTGTTTTATATCAGGTTTATTTACTTAAGCTATACAGTATTTACATTAATAATAATTGCTGTCAAGTCAGTTTTGATTTATGGCAACTCTTTTCAGGGTTTTCTAGGTACAGAGTACGGAGAAATTATTTACCATTCCCTTCTTCTGAGGCTGCCCCTTCCCATGAAGTTGATATTATTAAGCCCAATACATTTGTCAAATGCAAAAAGTATATAAATGTAATTGACACATTTCTTTCTTTAGATAGAGTTCTTGCAAGTCTTTATAATAAATATTATTAGATCTGTTTTTATTTTATTTTACTTTTTTGGTTACTTAAGTTTAGTTTTATTATAAGGTCATGGATCCGAAAAAAACTTTTTGGTAAATTTAATATAAAGACTTGCAATACAGCTCAGTAAATGTAGATGAAACATTTCTCTGAAAGAAATGTCATCTACATTAATATATTATTTACATTGGTTAAATGCAATGGGCTTCATGTTGTTGTTGTTTAGTCATTTAGTTGTGTCCGACTCTTCGTGACCCCATGGACCAGAGCATGCCAGGCTCTCCTGTCTTCCACTGCTTCCCGGAGTTGGGTTAAATTCATGTTGGTCGCTTCGATGACACTGTCCAGCCATCTCATCCTCTGTCGTCCCCTTCTCCTCTTGCCTTCACACTTTCCCAACATCAGCATCTTTTCCAGGGAGTCTTCTCTTCTCATGAGATGGCCAAAGTATTGGAGCCTCAGCTTCAGGATCTGTCCTTCCAGTGAGCACTCAGGGTTGATTTCCTTTAGAATTGATAGGTTTGTTCTCCTTGCTTTATGGTCCAGCTCTCACTTCTGTACATCGCTACAGGGAAAACAATAGCTTTGACTATTCGGACTTTTGTTGGCAAGGTGATGTCTCTGCTTTCTGAGATGCTATTGAGGTTTGTCATCACTTTCCTCCCAAGAAGCAGGCGTCTTTTAATTTCGGGGCTGCTGCCACCATCTGCAGTGATCATGGAGCCCAAGAAAGTGAAAGCTGTCACTGCCTCCATCTCTTCCCCTTCTATTTGCCAGGAGGTGATGGGACCAGTGGCCATGATCTTAGTTTTTTTTGATGTTGAGTTTCAGACCGTTTTTTGCACTCTCCTCTTTCACCCTCATTACAAGGTTCCTTAATTCCTCCTCACTTTCTGCCATCAGAGTGGTATCATCTGCATATCGGAGGTTGTTGATATTTCTTCCAGGAATTTAATTCCGGTTTGGGATTCTTACTAGTGACTTAATGGGAATAAAACATGTAACAAGGTATTGCAGCATTAAGTCAGTCTTCAAATGTTGCAGCTTAATAGAATTACATTTTAGTAACTGGTATGTGTATATGTTATTGTTATTTTAAAAGAAGTGACTGTTTATAATAGAATGATGTTCAGTAAAAATACAAAGTAACAAGCTGAGCTATTACAGCCTTTTAATACTTATATTACCTTCCTTGAGGACTGTGGTTCCCTGGAGTCAGTGCATGTATGCAGATTTATGTTTTTGGTCTACAACCCCCAGTATTATATACATCATTTCTATGCATCTCTAATATACAGGGCTTTTCTGCTGTAGAGTATTCAGTGAGGTTTCATTTCTTTGTTTTTCTGTGGTGACGTTTCCTTTGTTTCTGTCTTCACTGGGCTAAATACTGTGATATAAACTGTGCCTATTTTAATTGAGACTAGTAGTTGGATTTCAGCTTCTTTACTTAAATCCAGTCAGTTTATTTCTGCTTCTTGTGCAGAAACAAACTAACTAGAATTGGGTAAAGAGGCTGAAATCCAACTATTAGTCTCAATTTAAGGAGGCCTGCTAGATCAATTCCTAAATGGTAAGTCAATGCTTAGGTAACTCCCAGCAATTCATTGGCTCTTGGGTGGAACACAGAAGGGGACTCCCTAAAAATGTGAGGACTGTGAATATATTCAGAAATTGCCTAGGCCAGTGGTCCCCAACTGTTTTTGAACTTTGGACCGGTTGGGGGTGGGGTCTGTGTATGGGGAGACAGAGCACCCCTGTGCTCACGGGTGGGCGGGGCGTGCTTGCGTGCATGCTCAGAGGGGCAGGTGGGCTCACACGCATGCGCAGAGGGGAGGAGCGTGCTCATGGAGGGGAGGGGCACTCGTGCATGCAGGTGGTGGGACGTGCGTGTGGGTGGGGTGCATGGGGCGAGTGCGTGCGGGGGAGCAGGAGATCTGTTTCCGTGGCTCGGTCCTGCCATGGCCACAGACCGGCACCGTGCCGCGGACTGGAGTTTGGGGACCCCTGCCCTAGGCAACAATGTAACCCAGTTGGCTAATCTCTCCACTCCAGAAGCCCTATTGGATTGTTTCTGGTGTGAATGAAGATGAAATGACTCTTGGAACCAAACCCAGTTTAGGATTTAGGCCTTTTCCCCAAGTTTCACAGAGTGGGATTGGCATGTGCTATTCTACCTTCATGCACCAAAATATCTTAATCTAGCCCTAATACCATAAATGATGCATTTGGACATGTTCTAAATCCTTTATGTTCTTTAGGTAACATATCTACTGTCAGGTGGATCTGTGGCTCATGAAGACTTTTGTGGCCACACAGGTCGATTGGATCCAGGAGATTTGCAGGTATGTGAAAGTAAAGAGAACCGAAGCATATTGATTTATAATAATAACTTTTGAACTTTTTTTTTTAATCTTAGAATTTTTAAAATTATTGGTACTTCATTAAAACTCTGTGTTCTTCATCATTGGATTAATGAATCGTATAGACTAGCAGTGCAATCTATTTTATCTTGCATTTGAGCGATCCTTCAATTCATATGAGAGAAATTTCTTCTCCTGTGAGAAGAATCCACTTCAATTTTGTCCAGTTTCAATTACTGATGCTCCTTCCCCCTCCCTTTCCCTGCCTTTTTTTGCAGCTCTCATTCCCTGGGCTGCAGCATCTTCCCTTTTTTTGTTGTTTAATTTAGTAAGTGACATAATGCTACAGCAATAAATCCACCTAGGATGGCTATTCACTTATATCTATAATAGCACTGCATAACTTAGAAGATTTCTTTTTTAATTGTGAGAAGTGGAAAATAGAGGAGAGGGGTTCTCCACTGTCCTTTCCACCACCACTGTCCACTGCATATGTGACAGGGTTGTCACAGAAGAAAACACTGCCCACAGCTCTATTTGGGAGTAAATTAAGCAATCACACAGATTGCAGAATGGGATAATCAAGAGAACACCCAATCATGCCAAATAAACTGCAGCATTGCTGCTGTGTCAGAAAGGAGAAGAACAAACAGCTCACAAAAGTGGCTGGATGGACTGTTCTTATTTTAAACACCTGTGGTTCCCAGAAAATAAGGTGAACCTAACTGTCCCAGAAGCAAACCAGATAGCAAGCCATATGCTCACCTGATTGTCTGAAAAAAGGAGGAAAGCTGTCATAGGAAATGATGGCAATATTTCCATATCCAGCACATTCTAGCACAATATTCTCAAAGGTTTTGGTTGTTTTACATTCTGGACACATTTCCACCACACCATATATCATAAGGATCAAGCTGATCCCTAGCTAGTTAAAACTATGGGACGTTTTCAAGTTGCAACACAAGAAACAATTAGGTATATGTATTCTTTAGCATTGGGCAATAACCAGAGGGATGGGAGGCACATTGTTACATCCCTGACCTCAAAAGGCAGCACCCCTTACTCCCATTGCGATTTTATTTTTACAAACATGGGTTACTTATGGTTGTTGTGGGTTTTCCGGGTTCTTT